TTTGCAATTTCTTCACGGAGAGTACGTTCCATATTTTCTTTCCTTTTCGTTTACGTAATCAATGTGCTTTCATCCCAGGAACCTACCAAAGGTAGAAAAGCATGGTATCACCACAAAAAAGCTGGATCAAGCCGTAGATATGGCTGCAGAAAATCTCAATTTCGCAGAGATGGAAAGCATTTGGAAGCTGCAGGCTAGGGATGTCCCAACTGTGAGTTCAGTTGAATCACTTTTTTTTGAATTGTGATTCATTGTGATATGCTCCTTTTATAGTCGGTGGACAAGAAAAAACTCGGAAAGGCCGAGAACCGAATAGCACAGAAAGCTGAGCAGCGTGAGGCAGAACCAGTTGTTCGGAAGAAAAGACCAGAATGCACTGCGACTGCTTCACAGGTGAAAAATTCTTCTCATTCTTCACTAACTCCTTGCTCTCTTTCTTTTCTTATTGATATAAGTGTTTCGCGAGGCGCATAATCTCTACTTTAAAAATGAAAGACGGCTTGTGAGAGAACTTTACTCTCGTCCTGCAAAGAAAAAACAACAAACTTATTTTTCCCAGGCACCCATAAAAGATTTGGGAACTCGTGGCCAAAACGTAAAGGATGTGAAATTGGAAAGTGTTGATATTTCGATCGGAACTAAGTAAGTCTTTAGTTGGTTTCTACATTTTTTATGTTTTAAATCGGCTAGGAAATTCAATAAGGAGTAAGTTTAAATAGTTATTCTATGGCTATAATTCAGACCACTTGATCAAGGTCTGCTAATTTAATTAATCTGCTTCCTCGCCAACAATCCATATTTTTGGATCTCGCAAAGACATCACCTATAAGGGTGATTTCACGTGGTGATTACAAAAATTGTACTTTTTTTCGCTTGGTAGCGCTTTATTGTGACTATATGATAGTTTCAAGTTGAGGAATCTAAACCACGGACTTGCTTGTAAAGATTCTGACATGCTTATCACGAATATTGTATCCATTCCGCATGGAGTGCGCTTTATTGTGGTTTCATTTTTGGTCCTTACATACGTCTGCATCTTTACGTAAGGCGCTACTGCTGATTATAATATATATATATATATATATATATATATATATATATTGATGCTAGATATGATAT